GGAAGGTGCGGATCACTAATGTGCACAAGTAAAGTTGCCAGAAATACTCAATTGGCTAGTCTCGATAGGCAAGGGACGCAAAATGGCTAGGGGTTAACAAAGCAATGGCAAGAAAGAATGTACAATGATGGGATACCACGATACCAAGATGATATAGAGGTTACCGTTCTTGCTTACGGTTAGGGTGTCAAAATGGTGAAGGTGGACGATGTCGAATTCTTGTTGAAGTTGAGCGGCGGTGTTGTCGATGTTGAACCGTTCATAGTTAGCTGAAACACCCTAGGTAACGGAAAAACCGCAAACTCAAAATCTCCAACGGAAAATGTCAAATGGTGATAGCGGAATGCGATGGTGGTTCCGGAGTTAACAATGCGGAAGTGGTGGTAGTGGTTGATGAAGACGCAATCGTCCCTAAGTAGCCGAAACACCTTAGGAGACTCAAGTCACCAATCAAGCAACCACAAATACTATATTGATCAAAATGGGTTAGGTTGAGGAAAGCTATGGTGGTTTTGCATAAGATATGGTGGAGCGCCTAGGCAAAGATGTCAAAATGTCAAAATTTTGGTGGAGTCAATTGATGTTGGAACACATGGATGGGGGATGTCAATAGCTACTCAACGAGCTAAAGAACGTCAAAATTGGACTCCGGATGTGGAAGATATGGCCGCAACAAGAAATCAGCCGAAGCAGTTTTTGAACTAGCGGACAGTCCGGTCCTAGGTAGCAGATAGTCCGATCTTCATCCGAAAACCTTCTGATTTGAGCGGACAGTCCAGTATTGGGGAGCGGACAGTCCGGTCTGTGAGCGATTTGCTCCTAATGCGAGCGGACAGTCCGGTACGGGGGTTCGGACAATCCGGTGCGGGTTGGGAAGGCATGAAATTGAATTTTTTGGGCAGAAATGGATGATTTGGGGGTCAAAATTGAGGAGATTTCGTCGATGGAAGGTGGGGTAACTTGTGGGGAAGCTAGATCCACTCAAGACACAACGAATCGATGGATCAAAATATACAAAACATCATCAAACCAACAAATCTCAAAAACAAATTAGGGCTATTTTTGGTGGGGATTTTTGGATTTTAGGATGAAATCAAGCAAAACAAGGCTAGAAAACGGTGGGGAAGACTCCAAATTTGTTATCAACGTGGCTCGTGATACCAAGATGTTGTAGGGTGGAGACCCTAAGCATAGATCTTTCACGAATTGGAGGGGAATCCACGAAGAATGTGAAGAACCCGAAGAACAAGAGGGGAAATCACAACAGGAAAACACTCAAGAACAAGTCCAATCACAAATCCACTAGACTCACAACCACACAAGATCCACAAAGGCACAAGAACAACAAAGGGAAAGATATAAGGTAAAGTTCATCCCAAATCCAAAGGAGATGAGGTCTCGATGATCCTATGATGGGGATCCTTCTCCAAGAGGAGGCCTTGATAACAACAAGAGGATCTTCTCCAAGAGGAGGGCTTGATCTCCAAGAGGAGCTTCTCCAAGAGGAGGTCTAGATCTCCAAGAGGAGGAAGATGAGCAAAACTCTCTCTTTGTCTATCAAATACTTTGCTAACCCTAAAAACTGAGAGGAGCACGAAATATATAGTCTAGGGGCGAAGGGGTATGGGCCTCAGTGGTTACATGGGCTTTTTAGCCCAATTCGTAGCGAAACTGGGCCTACCGAACAGTCCGGTGGTAAGGACCGGACAGTCCGGTGAGGACAGATGCATTTTCGTGTGCCACCGGACTGTCCGCTGTGGGGACCGGACTGTCTGGTAGTGCAATTTCAGTGTGACCAGACTGCCCGTTGTGGGGACCGGACTGTTAGTAGTGCAATTTATGCACGCTTCCTTTTCTTCATCTTGACGCTTCCGGCCAGCTCTTGGGTCTTGGGGTCCTTCTCCTTGGCCTCCGGGAAGCTTCCTAGCTGCTTGGTGGTGGTTGCCCTTGTACCTAATGATGCACAACGTTCCATGGTGAGGTAGCACCCAAGTCCAATGGATATTCATGTAAATCTCAAAGAGGAGCGGGTTCACCTTAAGTCCGGTAGGTCCACTTGGGGCTTGAGGGGCTATGAAGGTGTACATGGATATCACCGTAGGATGCTCCGCATCATTACCTATACCGACATGGCAAATTTTTAACTTTTATTGCCATAGCATTTTTCACTTTTTATTTTCCATGCCAAATTTACTTTCATTTCCATGGCAAATTTTACTTTACATCCATGGCAATTTTTAATTTCATCTTTTTCATGGGATTTTTTTTTGCTTTCGTGGTACCATGTTAAATTTACTTTAGCATGGCAACTTTTACATTTGTCGCATAGCATATTATGGTCCTAGAAAGACATACAAAACCTACTTTCTAGCATGGCAAAAATTTACTTTTTGTTAACATGGCAAACTTTCTTTAACATAGATGGCAAAATTTAATTTGTGTAATGTTCATTCTATTCGTTGTATTTCTTTGTCATGACATTTTGTGAACCTAATTATGTTGCCATGGCAGTTCTGAAAAAAAATGACACAACATCAACTAATGAGGATTTTTGCCATGGCAAATTTGTGCTTCACGTCAGTTTTTTTCACCAATGGCATTTTTGCCATGATTTGCATAGGATTTCATTAAGGTTTGCCCATGTATAATGATAAATTTTTCTTTCGTGCCTGCAGAAGATAGCAAATTCAATTTTTATTTGGCAAATTCCATTGTTGTCACATTATTGTTTTTGCCAGGACATGTTAATTACCATGTGTTTTTTGCCACAACATTTTCTGAAAGTTTGTTGCCATGGCGATTTTCCCTTTATTGACATGGCAAATTTTCCTATAATGCCCTGGCAAATTCTTTTTACCTCTTTCTTTTGCTATGTTTTTTTACTTCTTAATTTGCCTTGGCAATTACGTTCTAACATTTACATACATGTCAATCTAATCGCTAATGGCAACTTAAACACTTTTTTTTCGCTACCATGTATGTACAGATGAAAATTGCTATGATATTTTTCTTTTGAGACATTGCAAAAAAATAGCCCTAGCAATTTTCTGCTTTTAAAGACTGGGATTTTATTTAGCACGGCAAAAGCTGTATTGTATTTGTCACAACACTTTTATTTGTTTCGCTACTGGGCTTTTTCTTTTCCTTTTCGTTTTCACAAAGAAAAGGCATGTAAGGGTGATGGGGAGGCCGTTCGGGCTGTGGGGGTTCTAGTACCGGATATCGGGGGTCCAATTATTACTTTTATTATTCATAGCAAAAGAGCCCGTGCGTTGCAACGGGAGAGAAAACATAACACACACTCTTAACCCGACAACCATCACCCAAGACTACAATAGGTCCATCTCCTTTATTTTTGCAAGATATCATATTTGTGTTGCCACTTATCCTCCTTCTCACCCTCGCCGGCGATGGCCTCGGTGTTCACACAAAAACAAAAAAAACGTGTTTGAATATGTTTAATCCTAAGACGCCTCTCTCCCTCTCTCCTCCCTCTCTCTCTCTCTCTCACTCTCGCGATGAGAAATCTGTTGTTTTCCCCTGCGACATATTTCAGAGGTTTGCATGTGTAGTTATTGAAGTTTTCTTTTCCCAATATTGTTATAGTGGGGTGTTTACTTGCAATCCGGGTCGCCGCTGGTATGAAAGGAAAACGGATCTTACGCTATAAATTATAAGTTTGCTCCCAAAACTATATTTTAAAAATATTTAACAGGTAAAATTAACATCTTATTTAGATGCCACATATTTTTCTAGTAAAATTTCATATATAATATGTTTTAATCAAAGTTACGGTTTAAAAGATACGGATAATTTAGAAAATCATTTATTTGACTTAAATATATTCCAAAATAATTTTTAAAAATACTTAACAGGTGAAAATAATCTCATATTCATATTCTACATATTTTTCTAGTAAAATTTCATATATAATATGTTTTAATCGAAGTTACGGTTTAAAAGATACGGATAATTTAGAAAATCATTTAATAATTTTTAAAAATACTTAACAGGTGAAAATAATCTCATATTCATATTCTACATATTTTTCTAATCAAATTTCATATATAGCATGTTCAAATCGGAGTTACGGTTTAAAAGATATGGATGATTTAAAAAATCATTGTTGGACTTAAATATGATCCGCAAAAAAGAAAAAAAGAAAAATGAAAAAAAACAGGGGAGTGAAGCCCCGCCATGGGTCGGCGGATGAACACATTCATGGTACGACGTGCGTGAGAAAAGAAAGCTAAATATTGTGGACGCTGGGGATCAAACCCAGGTCTTGCCGGTAGAGGAGGGATAGGCCGACCACTCTGCTGGTCTTTGGTCTGTGTCTAATGTACGTCGCGTCACTATAAAGTAACGAAGTAGGCGGTGATTTTTTGTCCGAAAAGTTGAATCGTTTTTCCACTTACCGGTGGCATTGGTGGGTAATTATTATAAGCTTGAAGGGTAATTTTAATGACGGACGACCAGAAGCAATAGCCGCTTTATTAGTAGGGAAAGATAGGGAAAGATTTACTAGCGTCCACTACAGCTATATGAATCAATCACAATAAACATCCTACAAATTCCAACTAGCAAAGATGGCGCAGCGGGGTGTCCGCGAACGGCCCGTCCAGCACACCGTCGGCAACAATCTTGTACGCCTTCTCCGTCATGTGCAGGCCGTCCCAATTGGCGAAGCGGTCGGGGCTGCCCCAGAGTTTCGTCTTGTTGTTGCACGCCCCGCTGTGGTACGGCCCATTGCCGCCGCAGCACGCCACGAGTGGGTCGGCGATGCCGTACGCCTGCGGCTTCTGGACGAACTGCATGGCCGCGCTATAGTAGTCAGCGTAGACGATCTTGACGCCAGGGTTCTGCGACCGGAGCCTCACAACCTCCTGCCGCAGCGCCAGGTTGTGTTTCTGGGAGAATTCGTTGTACCACTTGAGGCAGTGGAGCTCGTCGTAGTCGTCCGTGACCTTGCTCTCGTGGGCGCTCAGGTACGCCGGCAATCATCCGATAGGGAAGTTGCCAGGGACGACAATCGTCCTGGCGCCTAGGTTGATCACCTCCTGCACGGTGGCGCCGATGCAGGTGACCACGTCGGGTAGGTACTTCTCCGGTGTCTCGCGGGGGTTCCTGGGGTCGATGAACCAGAAGTTATAGTCATTCCCGCCAATCTCGCCCATCAGCACCAGGGACTCGCTCAGGAGAGCCCTCGTGGCACCTATGTCAAGATGAAACAACAATGTACAGATCTGATGAATTGCAATGACAACCATGCATGCACGTGCATATATGTACTGTATATATGTTGCTTACCATCCCCGGGAGCAATGCGCGCGAGGACCTTCTTGAAGGAGGCAAGCTGCCGGTCGAGGTTGGAAGGCGCGTTCATCGTGAAGTTGTAATTGGTCTTGTAGTACTCCGGTGGAAGCGCAATGGCGCCTGCCACGGCGAAGTTGGCGCCATTGGGGAACTGCCCGGACGCCTCCTCCGGGATGCTCGGCGGTAGCAGCGGCAGGCCGAGCGCTTCCGCTGAAAACATACGCACATAACATATGCACTCCTCATTTTAATAACCAGAATAATAATCGATGATGGCGTCGACGGCTCACCGTAGAAGTCAACGACGACACGGCCGTCGGTGACGCGGCCGTTGGGGTGCTTGAAGAAGGTCATGCCGTAGGGCAGCTCCTTGATTGGCGACGCGCTGTTGCCGATGGAGTACAACAAGTTGCCGGTGTCGATGAGGGAGTCACCGAATGCAAAGATGCGCTTGTAGCTGCAGCCGCACAGCGCCACGTCCGCGTTGAGAAGCGCCACGATGGAGATGGCGAGGACAACGACAGACACGCCGGAAACAGCGGAGAAGCACCTGCGACTCCCCATGTCTGAGAAACAAATATGTTCTGCTCCGACATCGATTTGCAATTTGGTATCCTTTTATAGAACTTCCCGAAGGATAATAATGCAAATGAGGGGTGCATTTATTATTCTATATGGATATGCACTCCATAATTAACATGAAGTGGTATATATGCGTGACATTATTTATAGAATGCATATCGATATGTGTATCAAGGATAACGTGAGACGGAGGTTATATACAGGGTGAATCATAATAAAGGCGAAAGTTACATGCAGCGTTACTTAATAAAGAGGAAGTTAATCTCTTGCCTAAAATAAAGAGGATGAACTTTATAAGAACCCTTAGACTATTCATACTGGGAGTAAAATAAGGCTGGTCGTAATAGGAAGTATCATATACTAATATCATGCATATGATACTAGTGTATAATACTATCTCCCAAAGCATAGTATCATACATTAATATCATGTAGTACTATATTTATTGACATGCATGACACATACTAGCATAACATTTATTACGATACAGTATCATGATATGATACCCAATCCTCTCTTTTTTCATTTAATTCTATATCATCTTATCAAAATTAACTATTTGGCATGTATAATACTAGCTATGATACTCCCATTACGACCAGCCTAAGTGATAACATCACACATATCTACGCAAAAAAATGATGTTGCAAGTAATTAATGGAAAAAAAGAGGCATGTGATAAAATAATATGTTACTCACATTATGGGTAACATCATACGTACCAAGATAAAATAAGTATACAACCTATAAATAAAATGTTGCATGACACCACACATATATTACTCCCCATTATAGAGGTAATACTCCCTCTGTCACACCCTAGCTAGTCATTCATCAGAGTGTGTGCATCATGTTTAAAATTCCATTTAATTTGAAATGGGGATTTGTGAAACCCTCAGAATCATTTCTGAAAAATGACCCAAATAAAAATTTCTCCAAAAGGGTCCAAGAAAATGCTCATGTTGCTCTCTGAAAATATTGGACAGAGATAAAAATCAAACCAATATTTTTAAGAGCTCATAGGTATTTATCTTGGGCATTTGGAATTAATGCATAAATATTTGCATTGGAAATATATTAGTTATATATATTAATATATGTCCAAATATTATGCCAATTATAAAGGAGCTCTGGAATAATATATCTAGCTCCTGCAAAAATTGGCATAAGGTAAATAAATGATTTAATATTTTATTTAAATCAAAACAAATGTCAGAAATTAGAAAACAGAAATAATTAAAAGGGAAAACCTTACCTGGGCTCCTCCCTGTGCAGCCCAGCCAGCTGGCCGGCCCAGCCAGCAGGCGGCCCAGCCCGCCTCCCTCCTCTGTCGTCTTCGTCCTTGACAGAGGGAGGGGAGTGTGGCCGGCGCGCGCGCGCGCCACCGCGCCACGCCTCCTGCTCGCCTGCCTGCCTGCCCTCCCCTCCTCGTCTCGATGCCCCGAACGACGCCACGCCCTCCCCCCTGCTCTCTCTCACTCTCCCTCGGTTCTTCCCCTCCTCTCCCTCGCTCTCTCTCTCACGGCCGAACACCACCATCGCCGCCGTTCGCCATAGCAGCCGTCACCGGCCACCCCTCGCCCCTCCGCTGAGCTCAGGAGCTCCGCCGCGACCCCCTCTTCCTCCCC